CCAAATTAGATTATATTGATGGCTCATTATGGTCAGATACATCAAGCTGCACGAGGACGTATGATTGGAACGTTGAGAAATTGAACACTATGACTTAAGAAAGTGTGAAAGGAGATTGGTGTACTAAAGCTATCTTCTTTACCAAAAATTGCTTAAGAACACTAATATATCAATTAACATGTGAATGATGTTTAGATAAGATGGAAGGCGTGGGCCAGAATAGATTAGATTTGCTTCAATTATTTTTTGCAATTAATTATGGAACCTATTAACATGCTTGAGTATGATATCTAAATTGTCATTAATTTTTAATTTAAAAAATTATTTTATAATTTGAATTATATCAAACTATATAAAAAAAACTTTAATATAAGATATATGTCTCTTAACATTAGGAGACCTTCCTTATTTAAAAATCTATATTTTACAATTTAAATTATCAAATAGATTATTATCTTTTTTAGATACATCTAAATGGATTATACAAAAGAGATAACCCATCATTTCTCTAATTTTTTTTTACCTGATTTAGTATTTGAATTTAAAACTTTTAATTTTAAATTTTAAAATTTTAATCATTGAATCACTTTCTTAAAAATATCAAATAATGACTCTTTTTAATCTAATTGGATATAAAATAATTTATATTAAAAATTAAACACGTTTTAGTGTCATTTGACATAAATCTTGCACCAAGTAGACATGTGATATATCTAGAATTGAACAATATATTGCATATGGAAACGAAGTTGATCAAAATCAAGTACTAACACAAAAGAAAGCAAAGCAAAGCATAAAGAGAAAGAGAAGAGAAGGGAGCCTAACAAGTCAATGTAGATGGTGGACATTGCGGGTTGACGCAGGGATTGATCGTGGGGGGCACATCACCGCACCCACAGCCACGGCCTCAGCACAACCAAAATGTTTTGCCCCCCGTCAAAATGCCCTGCACCGTTGCTTTTTTTTTGAGGTGTTGCATTTTGGTTGGTCCTAGATTGTCCACAGCCTGGACCCACTGTTCTATTTTTCCTCATCAATCCTCGGTGTTTTGGTCCCATCTGGTCCCTCAAACCCCCATAAAGAACGCACCTAATTGGTTCACTCTCTACCACTTTAGCATCACTAAAACGTCACCGCACCCCTCCTTTCTTGTTTTTCCTTTTTATTTAGACTTTTTAACTTTTTTTTTCACCTCTAATGGACCCACCACATCGATATCTGTCCTGTATAGATGTTATCATTTTATTGGAAATTTACAATGTAATCCTACTAAGAGTGTGTTTTGGGCGTGGTTACGGTAAACACACAATTGTTAATATATTTTTAAATAATTAATTATGATATTTGAAATTATTAATTTATAAATTAATTAATATTTTTAAATAAAATATTTATCTTGCATTGAATTAGAAAAATAAAGTAAATACAATATAATTTTACTTCACTTAAAAGTAATTTTATAATTTATAATTTTTATATGTTATGATAAATATATATTTTAACGGTTTATACTTAGAAAGGGAGATTTGAATACCAACCTTAAAATTAAAAAGTGCGCCTTATTATAAAGTATAGAGCAATTAAGTTATAAAATTTAAGTGCATGATAAATATATCTTTTAATATATAACTAATATAAGTAATTCAAAGATAAATTAAATTAAAAAAAAAAAAAAATAAATAAATAAATATTTGTAAACAGAAATCTCTTTACCTCTTAAATTTTAATACATTGTTATAAAACGCTTAACATTACAACAGTTCGCAAGTAAATAATTCTCAACATGAAGTTATTGCTCCCCGTACACCTTTACTGGACAGATAATAAGCCATCATTGACATCCATTCAAAACCAAATAAATTGAGGACATCTTTAAGAACCCCACCATCCGAATATGACATCGTACAAAACACGATACTGAACCCTAATTGTAAAGGTATAAAACTGCACAACCCTCACTAACGAGGAGCAAAACCGCACCATACAATGACACAAACCCTACAAATGGAAAGATAAAGTAACACGAACAAAAGGGTAGAGAAAAAAACAATAGGAAACCAACTGCTGGATATAGAATTAATTTTAATTTATTAAATAATAAGATAAATATTAATAATACCATTATTTGGATAGCTTCACAAGCTCAATATTGTTGAGTTCTTGAATTGTTCCAGTATTTAAAAATTTTGAAGAAATATGTTCAAAGAGAATTCAATTAATATCTAAATTATCAATAACCATTTAATTCATAAAAAGAAACATTCAAGAATTTAATATTATAAAAAAAAAAGAAATATAAAAAGAATTATCATCTTCAATAAAAAAAAAATATTTATAATTTTTATTTATAACATCGTTGTGATATGCCATCATCGAATTGATTGATATGTTATCTATTACGTAAGTAAATTTCATTACTTATCTTTATCTTTATCTATAAATCTTTATTAGACTTTTTATCGATATTTGGTCAACTCCTTAATAACAATATATATAAAAAAATTTACGTACCCCTAACATTTCACTGTGTCACCTTAACCATGGCCGCGTGTTTTGCTTGTGTTCCTCTAAGGCCTCAACGGAGAGGGCGCTCTGTGCTCCCGGCCTCCGGCGACGGCTGGTTTAAAATACATTTGCGTGGCCTTCTAAAGAAGATCACGGAAAGGATGATGTCGTCAAGGAGCTGACATCGACGCGCAGTATGGATGTCAAACGTGTCGCGAGGAAAGTGCCGAGTGGGCCCCAAGAGGGACCCCCGTACAGAGCGGGGAGATGAAAGGTGGAAGACGTGGACGCTAGTGAGACCTGACGTGGTGTTGTGCTGTCAAAGGCAGCACTGGGTCCCACTTATATGGCCGCCACGTCAATCACAAGCAGAGTCAAGACCTTTGAGCCCCGACTGTACGACTCGCGAAGCAACCTGCTCCATGGCATGAATCATATGATGGTGTATTGGATTTCGTCAATGGAAAATTTTTTTAAATTGATTTATTATATTCTTATTTTATAAAATAAAAATAAAAACCGAGTTTATGTTTATTTATTTTTT